GGCAGAGCCGCCGTGGCTGTCGTGGGTGCCATAGGCCCGTCAGTGGGTGAAATCGGGGGACTGGGGGGGGCACCCACTGCCCCCAACACCCCTCCTCCTGCCCAGCGCTAGGCCTCAAAACGGGAAAGAAACCAGAAAATCGGTGGTTTTCGGTGCCGCTGTCGGCCAGGCCTTGCCCAGAGAAGCCAGCGGCTCGGCCCGACACCTCAGCGTGCCGGACGGAACCGGTGGCGGGGCGGTGTAGCAGCGTTGCAGGCAGCTGCCTTCTCTCTCCACCCCTCCTCCTCCTCCTCCTCCTCCTCCTCCTCCTCTTCCTCCTCCTCCTCGCCCGGCAGTAAATCCGCCTTCTCGGCAGAGAGCCGGAGCGTGGGGTTCGGCGGCGGAGAGCAGGCCTCTGCCTGGCTGGGGAAAGAGCAGAGAAAGGAGGGAAAAAGAAGCGAAAAAGGAAAAAAGGAAGGGAAAAGGAGGAAAACGGGAGGGAGAAAGAAGGAAAAAGGAGGAAAAAAGGAGGAATAAAGAAGGGGGAAAGGAGGAAAACAGGAGGGGGAAAGAAGGAAGAAAGAAGGAAAAAGGAGGAATAAAGAGGAATAAAGGAGGAAAGGAGGAAAACCAGGAGGGGAAAAGAAGGAAAAAGGAGGAAAAAAGAAGGAAAAGGGAGTAAAAGAAGGAATAAAGAAGACTAAAGAAGGGAGAAAGGAGGAATAAAGAAGGGAAAAGGAGGAAAAAGGAGGAATAAAGAAGGAAAAGGAGAAAAAAGGAGGAAAGGAGGAAAAAAGAGGAATAAAGAAGGAAAAACAAGGAGAAAGAAGGAAAAAGGAGAAAAAAAGAAGGAAAAAGGAGGAAAAGAAGGAGGGAGTGGGGAAACGACAGCAGCAAAGCAGCTGCACAGTAAGAGGGGGTCGGGGGGCTGCTGGGGGTGAGGGGGGGTTGGGTGGGTGACCCCCCCCTCCCCGCCCTGGCAATGCCATAGGGCAAGGGTGACCCCGGGGTGGTGGGAGCGACGGTGGCATTTTGGGTTGTTTTGGGGCATTTTGGGGGCAGCGGAGGTGGGTTGAGTGGGACCCTGGGGTGACCCCCAGCCCCGCCGCAGGTTCGGCTGCTGATGTTTGGGCTGCCCCTGCTGCTGGGTGGGGAAACTGAGGCCGGGCGGCAACCCAGAGCCCTCGGCAGCCTTGTCCCACCCCAGCACCCCCCGGCCAGGGCTGGACTGGCTGCCTCCAGCCGGTTTTTCCAGCTCCCAGCACCTTGCCGGACGTCGATCCAGCATCTGGTGGGGCCGGTGTGGTGGGAGCGGCTGCGGTGGGTTTGGCTTGGCACCGGGCAGTGGGTTGGGGAGGTAGTGCCTGCTTCTCCTTGGTCACACTGCCGGCCTCTTGGTGGTCCTGTTTTTAAAAAGAATATTTATTTTATTTTATTTATAAAGAATATGTACATATTTATTATTTAGTTATGAAGACTATTTATTTATCCATCTACTTAACTATCAAAAATATTTATTGTTTACTTAATAATACTACTTATTTATTTACTTACCTATATGTCTATTTATCTATCAAGAATATTTGTTTATTAATTTCCATGCTATTTATTTCTAGAGATTATTTATTTATTTATTAAGAATATTGATTTATCTACTTGTCTATCAAAAATACTTGTTTGTTTATTTACTACTACTATTTATTTATCTATACATCTGTTTCATGAGAATATTTACTTGTTTATTTACCTCTGCACTACTTATTAATTAACTAATAAATAATAATAAATAAATAGACAGTTACCACTGGGCATCATCCCTTTCCTTTTCTTTCCCCCAAGACCCCTCTGCTCCAGCCCTAGAAGAAACGGGAATGGCTCGGAGGGCGCCAAGCCCCTTGATTTTCTCCTGGACTTTCGTCACCTCCCCAAAAAAAACCTTTCTCCCCCCAGTTTCCACCCTCCCTGGGTGTTTCCAACACTATTGCCTGCATCCCTCTCAGAACATCCCCAGCTCCCTTGGGAATACGGGGGGCTTCAAGAGGGTCACGTCTCATGGCTGTGAGCACAGCCTGTGCTGGGCGGGAGAAGGATTAGGGGCTAAGGAGATCTCCCAGTGAGCTGGCGTGCGTGGGTGGCCGTGTCGTGGCCGGGGGACTGTGCAGAGACCAGGCGGAAAACCGAGTCGAAGCTGGAGCAGCCACGCCTCTGCCTGCATCGAGTGTTTAAAAGCCAAATTTTCCAAATCTCTTGAGTATTTTGAAGCCAAATTTTCCAAATCTCTTGACTATTTAAAAGCTGAATTTTCCAAATCTGTCTGCAGGAGCATCTTCGCCGGGCTGAGTTTGCAGGAAAACCCTGGCGGAATCGCAGGACTCCGACCTCTCCCTCGTGCCGCCTTGGTTCCGTTGAACCCCTCAATTCTTCCCAGGTTGGTTTGGGTTTTTTCCTCTTTCTGTGCAAATGGGAGGCTGGTAAAATCTGCACGCATCCATGGCATTCAATTTTTTAACGGCAATGTAGAGGCATGAGCAGCCAATGTTTTATTTTTCATTATTTAAATGAATGTAAAGGGATGGGGGAGAAAAAAATCTGAGCTAAACAAGCCATACCTGGTAAACAAATTGGACTAATATATGTATTTTTTCTTGAAATACCCAAGTTTTACCTTCTAAGGGAGAGGTTTGTGATGTGGCTGTTCCTGGACGGACCCAAAGCGTTCCCAGGGGCCTGATCCGGAGCCGCTCGAGGCAGGACACCACGGTGAGGGTCCTGCTGCCACCTGCTCCAATGGAGCAGCCGCCCGAGCGGGAAGGGACGATCCTGGCCCCTTCCAGCGGTGAAGGGACCTGCCAGCTCCCCAAGGAGGCCGTCAGTGGGGAAGAAATGCCAGCTGGCAGCCGGGATAGCCCGGCACTGGATGGGCAAACTGCCATGCCACGCGGCGGGGAGGCGGACGTGCCTTCCAGCCCTGGCGTGGGGCAGCCAGGCTGTGCCTCACATCTCCCCTCCGATGAGCATCCGAGGGAAGATGCTCGGGAGAAGCAGCCCGCGGAGGGTGGGGGGTCCCTGCCAGGTGCCCCTGTGCCCAGCCTGGATGCCAGGGCGGTGGGGTTACCGGCTGAGCCCCCCCAAACCCGAACCCCCAGTCGGGACGCGGAGGCAGATTTTTATTGCGTGAAGTGGATTACCTGGAAAGGCGAGCGGACGCCTGTCATCATGCAGAGCGAGAACGGGCCCTGCCCGCTCCTGGCCATCATGAACATCCTCTTCTTGCAGTGGAAGGCAAGCAGGGTGCTGGGGGTGGGGGGGGATTTGGGGGGGCTGGTAAGGGGGGATTGGGCTCTGCTCCCCCTAGATCGCTAGGGGAAGGGGCCAGGGGATGGTCCCCAGCCTCTTGGTGCTTCCAGGTGAAGCTGCCCCCGCAGAAGGAGGTGATCACAGCTGAGGAGCTGATGGCACATTTGGGTGAGCTCCCCAGGGAACCCATCATCCCTGCCCTCCTGCTGGGATGTGCCGCGGTGTGCTGCCATTAACCAGGTCACGGGGGCCTGACTGCGTTGCCTTGTAGGGGATTGCATCTTGTCCACCCAACCCCGGGAGCCGTCGGAGGGGCTGCAGCTCAACTTCCAGCAGGTGAGGAGTGAGGTCGCCTGTCACCCAGCACAAAAATTGATCCCCCCCATCTCGGGGAGCACTGGTAGCCTTGGTCTGCAAGACTTGGGGTGCTGAACCCTTCCCCAGCAAGCCCCCCTTGTTTTTTCTCCCACCAGAACATCAATGACACCATGACGGTCCTCCCCAAGCTCTCGACAGGGTTGGATGTCAACGTGCGGTTCACGGGTGTCTCGGACTTTGAGTACACGCCCGAGTGCATTGTTTTCGACCTCCTCAACATCCCACTCTACCACGGCTGGCTGGTGGACCCCCAGGTGAGCTGGCCCCACGGCTGTCCTGCCGCCTGGCTGGTGGCTTGCATGGGTCCAGGAACACAAGGGAATGATCTGAGGCATGGTGAGACACTGGCACAGGTTGCCCAGAGAGAAACTGTGGATGTCCTGTCATTGGAAGTGTACAAGGTCGGGTTGGACGGGGCTTGGAGCAACCTGTTCGAGTGGGAGATGTCCCTACCCATGGCAGGAGGTTGGACGGGATGATCTTTGAAGGTCGCTTCAAACCCAAACCCTTCCGTGATGGGTCCTTCCCCATGGTGGAAGCTGCCAACGCAGCTTCTTGGATGTGCCTGTGGTGGAGCAGTGGTCCAGCTGGTTGGGGAAGGTTCAAACTGAACCATCCTCCTCTTGCCCTGGGCTGCTGTGGGGTGGAAGGGCAGGTCCTCGCAGTCCTGGTGCTCACCCCCCTGGCCCTTCCCCTCCCTGCAGAGCCCGGAGGTGATGCAAGCTGTGGGCAAGCTGAGCTACAACCAACTGGTGGAGAAGATCATCACCTGCAAACAGGCCAGCGACTCCAGCCTGGTGAGCGAAGGTAACCAACAGCCCCCCCTGCCGCCTGGCCGCCCGCCCCCCAAGGGCGGGGTGTGGACGCTCCGGCCCCGGTCCCACCCCACTCTCGCCCCAGGGCTGGTGGCAGAACAGTTCCTGGAGTCCACGGCCTCCCAATTGACCTACCATGGGCTTTGCGAGCTTACCACCACCGTCAGGGAGGGCGAGCTCAGCGTCTTCTTCCGCAACAACCACTTCAGCACCATGATAAAGCACAAGGTGCGGCTCCACCCCCTTCCCCACCTTCCTTCGAGCTGATGGACACCCCCCTCCGACACTGGCCGGAGCCAACTGTCCCCTCTCCCCTCTCTTCAGGGCCACCTCTACCTGCTGGTGACGGACCAGGGCTTCCTGCAGGAGGAGAGGGTGGTCTGGGAGAGCCTCCACAATGTGGATGGAGACAGCTGCTTCTGCGACACTGATTTTCATCTCAGCCACACTCCGGGTAAGGAGGGGGCCACTGCAGCCCCCCTGGACCACCGGCTCCAGCAGAGACAAGTGGACCAGGTAGGGGACAACCGATGGTGGCAGGGGACACTTGAGTCCCGTCCCAACTCTGGGGGATGCTGCAGGGTTTGGGCCTGCTGCGCTGAGCCCCCTCCCCCTCTTTCTTCCCCCCCCAGGATTACATGATTGCCCTGTCCCTGCAGCAGCAGCAGGGACAGGACCCGTCTGTGCTCAGTGACCTGGAGCTCGCCCACCAGCTGCAGCAGGAAGAGTATCATCATCATCATCATCATCAGCAGCAGCGGCAGCAGCAGGTCCCAGTGCAGGTAACTGTGTGCTCCCTACTGGGACTGCAGCGTGGGGTGTGGGTGCTTCTCACCCCCTCATGCCCCTGCTCCACCCCACCGGCCACTCCCTGGGAGGGTGGCAATGGCCCCCCTGGGGTGATGGGGGGGTTGCTGCGGGTCCTCCCACTCCCCAGCCCCCTTCTTTTGCCCCCAGGGCCGTGCGCAGCTGGGCAGCCGGCCAGCTGGAGAACGGAGACAGCGGCAGAAGCCAGACTTGGACTGCACCCTCCTATAGCACCCGGGGCCCGGCTCCCCATGGGGGGGCACCCGTGGGGGCCCTGCCTCATCCCCGCTGTGGCCCCCACCCCGGATCCCGGCCAGGCTGGGGCGTGTGGTGGGGTCCCTGCAGCCGGAGCCCCCCGACTCCTCACTCTCATCTGTCCTCCAGGGAGATCTCACAGGGGTCCCTGGGGACACGAGTGGGGGGGACACACACGCACGAGGGGGTATCCTTCCTTCTTCCCCACTGCCGGGACCACCCAAATCTTTCCAGTGGCCTTAACACATGGGGGGGCCCACCCGGGGGCGTCCCACCGGTCCCTGCTCTGAGACGCGGGGGGACACGCGTCTGGGGGGGGACACGCACCCCTGTGTCTGAAACGTGGCCTTAGCCTTTGGCAAATAAAGGACTTGTCCCCGCGCACACGTGTGCGGCTGCCTGGCACTGGTGGGGGCCACCACGCCCCACGAACACGCGGGTTTGGGGAGGGTTGGGGTGACGGGACCCTCCGAGGCCCACGGACATGCGGGTTCGGGCCCTGCCCGCCGTGGGGTGAAGCAGCGCGGCCGGCAGGGGGCGCTGCGCACCGGGATGGCCGCCAGCGGGGGGGGGCGTGTGGGGGGCGAGCGGGGTCTATAGGGGGTGTATAGGGGTGCATAGGGGATGTATAGAGGTGTATAGGGGGTGTATAGAGGTGTATAGGAGGTGTATGGGGGTGTATAGGGGATGTATAGGAGGTGTATGGGGGTGTATAGGGGATGTATGGGGGTGTACAGAGGTGTATAGGGATGTATAGAGGGTGTATAGGGGTGTATGGGGGTGTATAGAGGTGTATGGGGGCATATAGGGGGTGTCTAGGGGTGTGTAGGGGTGTACAGAGGTTTATGGAGGTGTATATGAGGTGCATAGAGGGTGTGTAGAGGTGTTTGGAGGTGTATACAGGTGTATAGGGGGTGTATGGAGGTGTATGGGGGTGTATAGAGATGTGTGGAGGTGCAGAGAGGTGTATAGGGGGTGAGCACGGGGTGTGCACAGGAGCGTCTATAGGGGCATATCGGCGGAGCTTAGGGATGAGCGTAGGGCGTGCCCATGGCTAGGTGTAGGGGCTGTATCGCGGGTATGGGGATGAGCACAGGGAGCGCCTGGGGGGTACAGAGAGGCAGCGTGGGGTGGGTCCGTCCGTCCGTCTCTCTTCCTCCTGCCCTCCG